CACCAGCCCTTTTCAGACTTTCAGAGGGTGATCAGCTCCCACTGATCTAAAACAAAGAAAACAGAAGTGAAAAATAGCTCAACTCACCTGGTCCTTGAGGTCACCTGCATGGTGATTACACTACACATGGTGATATCATGATTACACTAATGGGCTTACCTGCCCTTGGAAGGGGGTACGCAGCAGGTTGACGCTGCTTTTATCTCCAAAGCACAGTGCTGGGAGGAGCTGGGAGAACACCTGTATCTGGCACCAGGAAAGCGACCTTGGCCAAGCCCCTCTTGGACAGTTTGGGTGGTGTGAGCGAGCCAGGAGCTTTGTGGAGCAGTGGTGTGAGCACAGGGCTGTGTCCCACTGGCACATCCAACTGCCTGGCATCACTGAGGTGTAAAGCAGCTTGAGGGCTACTACAGGCAAGAGCAAGCCCACTTTTCTTGGAGAGAAAAAAAAAAGGCTCCTTCAGGCTACTTTTGTGCCCTGCATTGAGGGCATGTAATCATCTGCTGTAGCCACAGAGTGGGGCCCTTGCCTTTGGGAGGCTGCGGAGAGCAGTGGACATGGAAAGGTTCCTGAGCTGGGAGCAGCTGAGCTGGAACTCACCAAGTCTCCTTGGACAGCCAAAGCAGATGCAGTGCAAACAGGACTAGCAAGAAGAATGGGAGGTACATGGATGGACCTCATAAATAATCTACCTACGAAGGTGTCTTTGCTAGGGCTCTCACTGAAAAAAAAGTGAAAAATGCTGAAGAGAAAAAAACTCATGTACAGTGGGACATGATGTTCCTTGGGGATTCAGCCTTGCCAGAGTACCACGGGGTTAGACAGCGAGGGGAAGGCAAACACGCTGCACAGAAGAGCAGTAATGCTTGCTCCCAGGGTAAAAGGCTTGTTGGAAATCCAGACAAGACTTTCAGCTTTCAGGTGAGCTGGTAGAGAAGGGCTGAACACAGAAAATTATTTCAGTGGAATAAACTCTCCACAGAGCTGAAGAGTTGCTAAGTGAAAAGCATGACACTGTTTCAGGATGAAAATAATGTGGTGATCTTCAGGGCAGATAAATATAATGGATTAATTTCACAGTAGGGCTAAGGTGACAAACAGTGCGAGAGAGTCTTAGATACAGAGGCTGCTAGAGGCTTAGATATAGAGGCTGCTTAGATACAGAGCTTTCAGCAGGTACTATGATTAAATATGCTTGAATGGACCATATTTGGTGAACTAAAGCAAAATAATGTTTCTGCGTTTTCCAGTAACTCCTTCAGTTCTTTCCTCATCCGTGTTTTATTAATATTTTTTTCTATAGATTTCCAGGTATACTTTGCAACTATCTGATGCCATGCAGTCTTGGAGTCATATCTTAACAAAGTTAATGGCAGTGTTTGAGTTAGAGGGCTCAGTAACAATGGAAAACAGCTCAGGGAAAAAGCTGACTGTGAAATGTGAACCCACACCACAAAAAGGCAGTGGAGAAGCTAGAAAAGTATTTGACTGCAGGGAGGAGGGGGAGCTGAGCAGCTCTTCAGCAACAAATTATTGAACTAATTACCGCACAGTAAAGATACTGCTTACTCAGCTTCAGGGATGAGAAAACACATCAGGAGGAGGCAGTGAGCCAGAAGCCTCTGAGATTTTGCACTGACATGAAGGGGGCTGCCTGAAGATTGTTGGATCCAGTCCTCTTGCCCAAAGCAGGGCCAGCTGCAAGCAGGTCAGCACATGAAAGCACCACAGCCTCTCTGGACGACCTGTGCCAGTGTTTGACTACCCCTTCAATAATCTATTTTCTTGTGCAATTTCATGTGTTTCAGTTTGGCCTCTTGCCCTCTTGTGGGCACCACTGGGAAGGCCCCGGCTCCCTCTTCTTCCTTCTTCCCATAAGGTATTTATATACAATTATGAGGTCCTTCAGAGCCTTCTATAGGCTAAACAGTCCCAGATCTCTCAGTCTCTCCTCATGTGAGAGATGCTCCAAGCTCTTAATCATCTCAGCAGCCCTGAGATGGGCTCAGTGCAGTATCTCCACATCTCTCTCTCTTCTACTGGGAACCCAGAACTGAACACAGCAAAAAATATCCCTGTAACTCTAGTTGGAATAGAATAGTAGAATATTTGGAGCTGGAATGTATGTACAGTGATCATCTAGTTTAACTGTCTGACCACTCTGGGGCTGACCAAAAGCTAAAGCATGTCGATAATGGCCTTGTCCAAGTGTTTTTTAAAACACCGACAGGCTTGGGGTGTCCACCACCTCTCTAGGAAGCCTGTTCCAGTGTTCTCAGGTTAACTTAGGCTCAGATTCTCAGGTGGATTTCTTTCCTTCTTACTTTTTAATTTTTTTCTAGAACTGGTACTAGCAATCCTCAAAAATGCCATTGTGCTTTTCACCTGTGGCTTCTCCTGATGCTATTTTGTTGGAACTTACTTGTTTCTATTCAAATCTGTCTTGAAGAGAACAGATGCAACTCAGCTGAAATCATGATGACTATAGTCCTGTATGTCACTGCAGAGTGGAAAAATATTAATAGCATCTAGTAAACTAGAAAGCAAAATCAAATGTGTGGTTTCAGTTATCTTTCCTATTTTCTGCAGTTGGAAAAATACTTTCTGTTCTGGTGAAGTTTGACAACAGCTCACTGAACAGAGCCAATGGGGTTTCAACTCTTTGTATTTTAATATTAAATGTCTCTATATCTGCAAGTATAAACACACTGCTGGGAACAAACACCCATCTTGACCTGTGGTCTCATCTTAGGTTTTGATTAAATTTCTCCATTTGCAGCGAAGGAAGCAACAAATTTAAAACTTTGTCAGTAAGGGAAGATAGTCCAACAGTTGCTCTGTCTTGACTTACAGCTCGTTTATTTCTATTTACCAGTCAACATACAAATACATTCTGTTACAGGTTTGGGATTTCAAAGAGCTTTCAGAAGAGAAGTAATGTTTCCTGATCCCTTTTAAACAACTACCTCTTTTTTCAAGGCCAGTTGTCAAATACAGTGAAAAGTGACATACAAGAAACTTTTTTCTATATGAATAGAATATCCCAAGCTGTAAATATATCCATCAAATCTGTTTGGCTCAGGGAGTCTGCAGGCTTACATTCTTTGTTAGTCAGCAAACATACTGCACGTTCACTTTTAAAATCTGAAAACACCAACTCCAGCATCATCTGTATTGTTCAGCAACAGCGTCTGCATTTCCAATGATTATATTTACACTAGAATTTCCAAATTTTTATTTTAAAGCCTGTGTAGCTAATAGCAGAGTCTGTCTTGTTTACAAATGCATGGAGAGCTCGGCAAGAGGCATAAATGTGTTTGGGAAGTGTTCCCTAACCCCTTGGCCTGCTGGGCAGTGGTGCCATGTGAGGGGAGGGCAGCTGCTCCTGCTGAGATAATCCCATCTCCCAGAGTTACACCTGTGTTATGTCAGTAACAGAAAAGGCAGTGACAATGCCATACCTTTCTTAGGTCTTTCCAGTGACTTGGATCCAGACATGAGAACAAAATTTGCATGGGCTTGAGGGACAGGACAGAGCTGTGCTCATACAGTGCAGTAAGGACAACAAGGCATTGCACCAGTCTGGGGTTGTAGTTCTAGTAGGTCACACTTGGCACTTCAAATCACAAATTTGAATGTTTGGCTTGATTTAAAGCCCAGCTGACCTTTGTGATTCAATTCACAAAGCTGCTCATTATTTTACTGCAGAAATGGAGTCACATGTTACACTTTGAGCAAGGGAAATGATAACCCAGAAAATGGCATGGCAATGGAATGGCGTGGAGTGAGTTTGTGAATCATTTCTCTTCCCCTCTCACTGTCATTCCCTTATGCTGATGGGGAAAAGTGGGAGAGCCACTTCCATTTATCCTGCCCTTCCCTTCCTACCCTCCGTAGGTACACATTGCACTTCCAGCAGGTCAGAGCTCAGGTCTTCCTGGCCATTGTGCAGATCCCTGTGTGCCCCCCTCCACCCACTGGGCATTTCTGAAATAACAGGAGAAAGGCTGGCCCAGAAAGTCCTCACCAGTACAAGAAATTTCTGTCCCTGCTGGCCCTGCCCACGTGAGTACAAACATCATGTCCCTAAAGGACAGTTTGGGAGCTCTTCACTTGCTACTTGTATTTGTTGAATACAGGTCTTTGACAAGAAGCCACTAGTTTGTCTTGGTATCCAGTAAGAATAAGCTGCAGTATTCGTGAAGTACAAAAAGGAGTAGTGTGGTATTTATGATTCAGCAGCAAAAGCTGCCCCCTGGAGGAACATGTCATTAGGCAAATGAGATCGTGAGATGCAACGGGGTCCAAAATTACCTCCACACATTCAACCATGAGCATTGTTATTGTAGTTGCTTTACTAAGTTAACCAACGAGACTGAAAAACTGAAATGTAGACTTTATACAGAATGAGTTGGGAGTACAAATAAACAAAAGCAACGTTCTTCAGGAATTAGTTGTGTTTTATAAACATCAATAAACACTGTAAAAGATGTGAAAACCAAAAAGAAAAAAAAAAGAAACAATATCAACAACTTTAAATTGTCCTAATATTTATAATTTAAGCAGATTTTTTTTGTACTTTTGCAATAGGGATTTCATCCATAAGTCCTTATATAATTAAAAAAGGAAAAGAAAAACAGTCAGCATATTGCTGATATACAAGACCAGGGAAGGGGTCACAATTAGAGCAGAAAAATTACACATCCAGTTAGAACTGTATTACAATTTAGCAGGAATACTCTTAATGAACACCGTCTATGCGTGAGAAAGAGACAGCATCACTATTACAGGCAAGAACTGATGATATCATTCACTATCCACTGTCCAAAATGAAAATTAATTAAAGGGGAAATGAAAACTAGAAAAGGAAAGGGGAAAAAAGAAGGGAACTTTTAAAAACACCTCTTGATAATAGTCTTCTAAGGCAAATGTTACATGCACTACTTCCCCAAGAAACTAGACAAAGCTCTTCCATTCCCCATGTTTCCTTTCATCTGTTTTCATGAAGAAAGGTTTGAGAGAGCAGAGCGCTGGGAAGAAATACTGCAAACCTCTAAATTAGTGAATGAACTTCCAGCATCACTATTGTATTCAGGGTAGGAGGAACTGGAAGAAATTATGTTTTTCAGCCTCTGAAGTGCAATGATCAGTAGCAAAAGGAGAAAAGCTAAGAGACTAAGGAATATAGAAACATAGACATAGACATTGGATAAACGGCCGGGCGATGAATCCACTGAAGTTGAAAGGGATGTGGGATACAGCTCCAGAAAAGTCCCATTTTCCATGCTTCCCACAAATCCAGACGAAGGGTCAGGTTCTGACATTGCTGGGTTTGTGTTTTAAAAGTCACAACAGATCTTGTATTTGAAGGCAGTTTTAGTGGCATAAAAAGGGTTTATTTTAAGCGAACATTTTTCCATCATAATGGTGAGATGACAAGTCAGCTAGTGAATGAATTTATCCTTTACTGCTCAAGCCCAGGACAATTTAAGATTTTATCCTTCAGAACTGCAAGGAAAAAAAAAAAAAAAAAAAAAGCAAGGTTAATTTACTAGTAGATAATGTGCACCTGATATAATTTAGGTCTTAAGTGTTATGTTTCTTAGCTTGAAGATGCAATTCTCAACGAATTAACTAGCAATTATCTTTATATCTCAATTTTCCAAAATGCAGGGATTAGGAGAAATCCTACTAAATCCTAATGGATTGACTCTTCCCAACCATGAGTTGTTTAACTGCAGAACAGCACAATCAAAAATGTACTTTATATTGGACAGAGGTACTGGAATCCAATTTATTTTGTGATAAAAAATCTGGTCAAGTAATGAAACTCTATCTCAAGCCCCTCAACCTAGATGAGCAAAGCCACTCAGCATCACAGCTGACAATGAATTCATTAGCTACTTATTTCATGGTGTCTTGCCAGAGGCACCCAGAATTAGAAAATCTGCCAGACTTTCTTTCTTACTGTGTATTTATGAAATGTTTTCAATGGTTTCAAACATGGAAATGTACTTTGCTGTAATTCTGCCATGGAGATCTCAATGGCAGGCATGTTTCAGTGCAGTGATGCAGCTTCTGACCCCTACAAGCAAAATCCCAAGGAACGGGCAGCCCTGCCAGCCCAGCAAGCATGAAAGGACTACCTAAGGGCTATGGACAAAAGGTTACATTCCAGATGTTGTTTTATTGTTTATTTATTGTGTTTGCTGTTTTATAGTGGAGCTTTTGGTGGTCTCAATCAAGCATCCTAACAGCCTGCAAGATATACAGGAGTACAAAACTGCATCTGCAAATATCAGATAAAAATATTCTTACCATTGTGGTATATAACTCATAGTGATGCACAAAATATACTAAAGTAAAATCATTTTATCACCCTAATAGTATTTAGCTCCATAGGAAACTGCATTTGTTGTACCTCCTGAAATAAGTCACAACAGACTGAACAAAGAGAGATCCTTATGAGATTATACTCCTTTTGAACTGTCTTTAATTTGGTGATATAAAATTAACTAATGGAACAATATGTGTTCATTTCATGTTCTGGAAATAGTTAAGTGTGTTATAGCTAATTTATCCTTTTTAAAAGATAGGCTTTGATATAGAAGATGTTTATTCTTAATTATGTGTCATAATGAAAATTAGAACCATTGTTAATTGAATTGCTCTATAATAACTTAAAGAATTACTTCACATGAATTCTTTAACATGGCAGAATTGGGCTTTTACCCAATTACTTTCTTGTTAGGTAATTGGGTGTTTTTTGCATTTCTGAAAATTAAATACAACAACATCATGACTTTTAGCCCATAACTAGTCCCCAAATATGGTTGTGAATTTTTCCACTGACATCAAAGCATAATGGCAAAGATGGTAAACAGCAATAAACCTGTTGTCTTTCTGAGAGCTGTAAACTGACCCAGGAAATGAACGATGGAGGCAAAGTTTTCACATTCTGTGGTGGTCCCTGCCTTTCCCTCATCTGTTTTTGGAAAGTTGAGTTGGGTTAAGGCAAAGAAGGAATTGCAAGTATTGTTCCTGAATGATGAAGATGGAGAACTCCATCTGACAGGAGGCAGCTTTCCAATTAACCACTCTTGAAAACTCCTGGGACAGCAGAACTGGCACCTGTCTGCAGGGGGTCTCAGACTTTGTGGTGTAGCTGGATCTGGATTACTTTGTCAGAAGCACCTCTGCAATGCCAGGATAGGGCTGTGTGACTTGAGGAGGCTCCCTGAGTCCTCCAGTCCAGCCTCACTGCTGAAAGCCCCAGATCATACTCTGCCTTTCTGACTATGGCTGAGTTTTCCTGCTGTTATTGCTCCTTGGTTACACAGCCTTGCTGCTCTGATGGACAACCTGCCTAGAAGATTCACACATTTCAGTAAAACAATTCACTGGTCCAAGAAGGCACAGACTCTACCTACCTCCACACCCTGCTGGTTTTAGATGTACAAGAGAGAAACACTGTGTTCTACTACTCTGGTCCTCAAATATGAGTGTTGCAGAAAAGGAAAGGCTCTCCTAGATACATGGTGTCATTTGTACATCCTGGCTTTTCAACCAGAACCACTATTTAGCTATATTCTCCCAGCTGTGCACGTTTCTTCATTCAGGTCCTTGGTAAAAATACCTTTCACAGGTGCAGACAACCACTCTTACTCCAGGGGTAAGGCAACTTAGCAGATACTGTAGGTAGGCTCAGTTGGAGTTTTTAATATTTCCTTTTATCCTGTGGTAAGCAGGAGATGGGCAAGGTGGCATTCACCAGAAGAAGGACAAACTGAGCAGGTGAGGGATCAGACAAGGCATCACTGTGTATCACTGTGCAGGTACCAGCAGTTCCACGCCTGAGCAGCCATGCCAAAGCTAGCCACTATTGCATATCTGATGGTATCTGCTAGAAAATCCATTTTGTAAGGAAATGCAAATGTGGTCAGGAGCAGAGACCCCACAATTAGCATATGCCCTGAGTGCCAAATTATATGTGACATGTAATTTAACCCTTAGCATTGCTAAGACAGTAGCCATCTCCCAGTTCAGACTAAAGTGAATATTAAATGAGACTGCAACACTCTGAAGAATGGCATGAACAGAGCTTTTTCATAGTCCCAATGTCGTAAATGCTTTACTGCTTGTATTGTATTTCTTCATATATCCTGATGCAACAACTCTACTTCTTCAGGCTCAGTCAGATATAATTTAACCGCCTGCACTCACACCACTAAAACGCTAAAAATTGATGAACAATCAGCAAAGATAAGTCTGGTAGACCAAATTTCTTTTGAGTTTATCAGTCACAGAAAAGCACTTCGTTTTCTTGGCTCTTCCTGTATTTTTGTGACTACAAGCTGAGAGGTATCTTGGTTGTTTCAGTGTCTTCAAAATGTTTAAGCAGAGAGACAAACTGACATCAAAGAAAATAAATGTTTGTATATTACATAAACCAACACTTTTGTCACAATCTCCTACGAACTGTTTTTTTACAGGTAGAAGGTACCCTAGAAAGCCCTTACTGTAAACATCTCCTAAGAGATGAGATCTTAATTTGCCTTTAGAACAGTTGCAACAGAGAGGTCCCTTGTCTGGCCAAACGTCAATATGCTGTAACAGGGCAGGAAAAGCAGGAGGAAGATTGTGCAGGTTCCCAGGTGATGCGGTGATGCCAGTTCTGAGACTTACTCATCCCTAAAGATGTGTTGCTCCTCCCCAAGTTCTGCTATCACAGTGATTGGTCCCAAAAGCTGGCAGCAAGTCTTCACTAGATTGATATATGTATGAAGGCCAGGGAGCTCCTGGTTTAATTCTTTCATCTTCTCACTCTTGTTTTCTACATTTATTTCCTTCCTAGGTTACCAATATTTCCCTTCCAGCAAACATGTAACAAAATATTTAATGTCAATAAAAATATGTTTTCATGCTCATACTAAAGGGCTGAATGAATTTTACCTACCAGGAGCACTTTAGCCTTGAAAGACAATATGCTCTAGACTGGAAAAGTGTAGCAGTTTAACATCATGCAATAAATAAGACAGTAGCGCTAGACAGAACGAAAGATGTGAGCAACATTTTTTTCCATTGAAAATGTAGGTAGGAAAGGCAAAGAATGGCTTCTAGCTTGCAGTTTAACAATAATATGATCCTTAATACCTCTTCTTGGATACACGCCTTTGGCAATTAAAGACCACAAGTAAGTAGGATGCTTCTTTTTTCTATTACAGATGGACCTTCCAGGAGCAGAGAATCCTTTCTCCACTCTGCCTGGGAAACAGGATCAATTGCCAACTGACTCAATAAAATAGAGCACAGAAGGAAAAGAAAAACTATTTCCTGCCACAAGCAAAGTTTTCCTTTAAATTTATGATCTAATTTCATTTTTTTTATTATGATTTAATATGATTTAAATTTATGTCTTTGAAAAGCTAAGAAGACAAGTGCCCAGATGGCTTGGTTGCAGGTTACAATTAAGTTATATTTTGTTTGGGGGTTTGTGTGGGGCTGTAAAAAGGAAACCCTCTGAGCCATAAGGATACTTAGATTAATTCAGATAGGCTCCAATGATTCTCTAATTTACATTTCCCATGGATCTGCGGATTATAGAGTCATTTATACCAACGTAAATCAAAGACATCGTGACCTGGGATCAGACCCAGAACCCGTGAGTTAAATCTGGTCTTTAAAAGTAAAAGAAAAATGAGCAAGGAGAAAGAATAAAATACTTACAAGCAGGAAGAAGATATGGAAATAGAAGCCAAATGTCCAATGCATAGGATGTGGTTGGTGATCACGCCCAAATCTAAAGGGACTGCATGCTGAGAAAAGCCCCTATAAAAAAGCAAATAAAAGTGGAAGAGTTTAGTAATAACTACAATAATAATAAAATAAAGGAAGGACAAGTGCTGAATTTTGACTGCTTTTACTGTGAGAAATTTCAGGAAAAAAAATCCAAACCAACTGGAATCCTGGCTTGTGTTTTATTCATGCTAACAACATCCTTCTTCTGCCCAGTTACAGCACGCCATGTGCAACATCAAAACCATGATCCTGAACTCTGCTTTACAGACAGGCTTTGATAACACCTTTCTCTTGTTCTGCAGTGTGCTCCAGGACCAAGACAGACATTTGTCCCCTGGCATTTTTTAAGCACTAGAGCACTGTATCTGCTCTCCAATTCTTTTCACATTATACCCTGAAGACTTCTGCCAGGAATCAGGTCTTTTGGATTACACACTATTATTTATTCATCCTCTTTATTTCTGACTATCTGCAGTTTAAGTTTTCACACTTGAAATATCCAAACTGAATATGTTATGTGCACAAG